TCGCAGCTCTCTGATTGGGATCGGTTTGCAGCGGAAGAGTATGAATTATTGGTTGCTGAAGAAAATGGCAGTGAACAACAAGAACAAATGTAAGTATCAACATACATCTCAAAAACAAAAACTGTCATAAATCTGTCAGTTTCAAATCGCAATTAAAACATTGCAACTAAACTTTACGTTTGATGCGTAGTGCGCAATCAAAAAAGTGGCTATATAATCCAATATACTATAACTTTTCTTGTGTAAATTTTTCAATGTTACACGTAATATTCGTAGTACCTACATATTACGCACGATTGCAGTTTGATAATCGTTGCACATATATATTATAGTATTATAGATAAGCAGATATTTAATATTTTACGGCAACTGACGTACTTTCTTTTTATCACGATTATAATGACAATGGTACATTTTTTGCAGGCTGTGTGATGATGATATGTAACCATCATCTACAGCTCAGTAAGTAAAGAATAAAAAAGCATGGGGAAAAAATGCATGTATTCGCATAAATTAACACTAGTTAATTAATATTTAAGCTCATTTTACATTTATTTCATGGGTTGTTTAATGAAAATTTCATTTTCTTTTCATGTTAAGAAAAATACATAATCCTCTCTTAAAAAAGCACTAGAACTGCGATACATTGAAATCTTATATTCTAAAGAAAAAAATGGTCAAAAATGTTAAAATGAACATTTTATTTAATTTTGGACACTGGAATTTTATACTATAAGGTTTGATCGACTTAGTATTTTAAAATTCACATTTTCTTTACTATGACGCATTGGAATCTTATACCTTAAACAAAAAAATGGTCTATAGAAAGGTCTATTCAGCTGATATTAACAAATTCATTATTATAAAGAATTGTTTTAAGTTTTTACATAAATTTTATAATTAATTAATTTCTCTTATTGTCAATATATGTGCCGATAATTATATAGACTATATATAATTATTAACGTATAGATAAAACGTAAATCTTAAATTTTATTTTAATCAGTTGTATTTCTCTTTTATATTACATTTGATATTTTTAATGCTGAATTAAGCGTGTATAGTGCGCACAATGTTATATTTCTAGTTTTATTAAAATGAACCGAGTTGAAGTAGAAATCTCTGAAGCACCTCCACTTTTAAAATAAACGCATGCAGTATTTAATATTCTCCTCGAAACAATTTATCTTCCACATGTGCTACTTTCTTATTTATTTGCCATACTTTCAGATCCATTTACATTATAATGGATCACTTTGCATATAAGAGAAAGAAGTAATAGTATTACCATAGATATGATGTAAAACCAGTAGTAACATTTATTCATTTTCTTGAGCAAAAAAATTGTTTTGATCTATAATAAAGTATTTCCAAATTTATATTTATTTTTCTCATTCTTACTTGTAAATTATTAGATTGAGCATTTAACTTTGAGACATCATGTATCCTTAATATTTCATCAATGTTTTTTTTTCACAGGTCGCACAGTAATGTGTCATCAAAGTTATTGTCAAATGTGGACATCTTAATGGACAACTCGGTGAATATGATCAAAGATGTAAATTTATTAGTGAATTCACCGGATGCTTGTGTGCAACAACAACTGAGATATGACAACAGTGGCAATAGCGACGATTACGCCGACAGCGACGATTAACTTCTCGACAAATTTTATTCGATAACACAATAGAAGGAAGAATTACGAAATAAGAGAACTTGCGAAAACCTAAGGCAAGAATTCTTCAGAATTTATTAATCATTTTTTACGTACGTTATGAATATTGTTAATGTTTTTCCAGTACTAATAGAACCGTGCCGAATATCTTTTTTCGCATTGTTTCTATCTCATAAAACTATACCGTTCAATCTTTCTTTTTTTTTTTTTTTATTTTTTT